AGATGGGAGATGGTTCTGCCCCTCTGCTTCACCCAGGTGAAACCTCACCTGGAGTCTTGCATCCAGCTCTGGGTCCTCAGCACAGGAAGGACATGGACCTGTTGGAGAGGGTCCAGAGGAGGCCACCAAGGTGATTAGAGGGATGGAGCAGCTCTGCTATGAGGAAAGGCTTGAGAGAGCTGAGATTGTTCAGCCTGGAGAAGAAAAGAACCTGAAGGGAGCCTGCAAAGAAGACAGAGGGGAGCTTTGGACAAAGGCCTGGAGTGCCAGGGCAAGTGAGAATGGCTTCAAACTGCCAGAGGACAGGGTTAGATGGGATATTAGGAAGGAATTCTTCCCTGTGAGGATGGTCAGACACTGGCACAGGTTGCCCAGACCAGCTGTGACTGCCCCATCCCTAGAAGTGTTGGATGGAGGTCTGAACAACCTGTGCTAGTGAAAGGTGTCCCTACCACGACCCTCATGCAACAGCACTATTACACACAGGGATAAAAGCACACAGCCTCCAGAGCTGTTTCACCAGCCTGTTAGGTGTGAAGAAGGGATTCCTAGAGCTTCTGCTAATATCTCCTTCCTCCTTTTGGCCCCTTTGTGGCATCTCTTTGGGGATGTCACAGCACATGGCACGTGGCACTGGCAGTGAGAGGGGCAGAGGAGGAAGGGGTGGGTGGCAGAGCTCTGGAGCTTGCAGAAGGCACTGAGCACATTACCTGCTGTGCTGCTGGGCGGTTCTGGGCTTGCCACTCCTCTGAGCGAAGGTGAAGGGCTGCTTTCCTGCCTCCTCCCGATATCTGCCCACTGCCAGGCAGAGGCAGCTCCCTCCCAGGGCAGGCAGGAGCCCCACACGGAAGTCAAGGTGCTGCTCAATTCACATGAGACCTCAGGGGAAGGAGCTGAGGAAGGAAAGCACACAGCAGGAAAGCCCTGAAGCCTCCAGCACATCCTGCCTGCAGTCTCAGCCTCAGCACCTGCCCCACAGCCTGCTCCTCAGGGACCTGCCCTGAGGGACACCAGGACACAGGGGGACAGAGGAAAGAAGGCTCTCTGCTTCACCATGCAGGTAGGAACAGACACTGCTCCTATGTTTCCAGGTCCTTTCCAGCACCTCTGAGAACCTGTGGCTCGGAAACACAGGACACTAAGCTCCAATCTCTATCATTCATCTGCTTTCAGCCTTTGAAGTATTTCAAAAGTACTAGAGACTCCTGTTCCTCTTTCCAGTGAGCAACCTCATTGCTACCAGGAGTGTGTGACAGGGAAGGCAGAGTGTGCACCATCCTGGGGGCAGTGGTACTGATACCAGCCCTCGGTATCAGTACCAGAGTTCAGAGGTACTGGAGCATGGATCAGAGAAGGATGGCACCTATATAAACCTAGGAATGAGCATGGCAGAGGTGACAGCACCTGAAACACAACTAGAGGAGAGCGGCAGCTGTGATGTTTTTCTTCTCTAGTCTGGAAGAAAAGAATGCAGCTTTCCTATCTTCAAAAAGCCAGGGAAAGTCTCCAGGGCTGAGGCAGGTAGTGAAGGTACAGGTGTGCAATCTGCCTCTCCAATCAAAGGCTGCCCCATTTCTCAGGAAGTCATGAGATAAAGTGGAAGTTTTCCAAGGGAAGTTCATCCCGGAGATAAGAGCAGTTTGATCACCTCAGTGTGGGTGATAGGATCCACCCAAACCCCCACCAATCCATGGCTGGAAAGGAAAACAAGGATGCCGGATCCTGTCGAAGTGCTCTGCCTGAGTTACTCATGCGGGTGACTGTGCAGCCAGCCCTGGGGTCATTTTTCTGAAGAAAGTGGGTTACCTGGGACAAGGGCACAGGGACCACTGACACACCTGGAGGCACACCATGGAAACCCTTTTCAACAGCCCAATTCCTGCTTCTCTTTGTGCTGGTCACTCCTCCTACCCCTTTGCACAATGTGCCCCCAAACCCTGCTCTGATCATGGAGCAGGAAGGAGCAAAACTGAAACTGTCCTCCTCAAGAGCAGGGATGGAGTCCAGGGTTCATACAACCACTGCAGAGCCCAGATGGCCTTACCTGCACATGATCCAACTGCCTTGTGCAGCCAGAGCATTGCAGCCTTCATCGCACAGCATGGCTAGTCCCTGGGACAAAAAACATTAGGTGTGGGATTAACTGCACATCCCTGCCTTCCCTTCAGGAACTGGAGTGACAGGGGGGGAATGGTTTCAAACTGACAAGTAACAGGGTTAGACTGGATGTTAGAAAGAAATTCTTCCCTGTGAGAGTGGTGAGGCACTGGCACAGGTTGCTCAGAGAAGCTGTGGCTGTCTCATCCCTGGAAGTGTTCCAGCCCACGTTGGATAAAGCTTGGAGAAACCTGGGCTGGTGGAAGGTGTCTCTGCCCATGGCAGGGGGTAGAACTGAATGGGCTTTATGGTCCCTCCCAACCCAAACTATTCTGGGATTCTATGATTCTATACACACCACATCTGGAGGAGCATTCCAGTGGTTCTCAGGGTTTGGCTGGAAAATAAGAAAGCAAGAAGTCCCTTCTGGGATTAAAATCAGTGTGTGCTGATTCTGGAACACAGAGGAGCAGGATCTGGTTGCATCAGGTCTAAGAGCCCAGCAGTGTTATGACTGGGAGTGCTGGTGGAGGAAGGATGCTGGAAAAATGCTGGAAGGATGCTTTAAGGATGCTGGAAGGATGCTTTGCAAGCCCAGCCCCACTGCTGTCTGAGGCACAGGTAGGGGCTGAGGGTACTCCAGCCATCCAGCCTGGTTACACAGACCAATCCCCATGGCTGGATATGTCTCATTTGTGAGCTCACCTTGGTAATCCCTTAGCCTCTTCCCAAGAAAATGGATGTGCTGGTCAGGATGGTGTGACTCCTGAGCAGGGCAGTGTCTGCAGGCATTGGAGCTGGGAGTGTTGTGGGAACAGAAGGTGTGATGTCAGCAGGTCACTTGACCTCATCCACTGAGGTCAGCAGCAGCAGGTCAGCTGTGTCAAGGTGGCATTAGGAACACCCCAAAAACCCCCTGTGCTCAAAGGGTGCCTTCCCCCCACATCACTGAGATTACAGGTGGAGCTGGCAGGGAATTGCTGCAGGATGAGGCTGGTGCACATGGAGGCTGAGAGAAACCAGCCAGGCAGGAATGAGCCAATGTGACAGCAGAGAGCTGTGCCAGGCCAGATCTGTGCCAGCATCAGAACATCAGCAACAGGGCAGAGCCCAGCGAGACTCATTCCCTCCCCTGGACCCAGAAAGGGGCTTAGCCAGGGGAACAGAGAGCTGCTGCACTCAATTCTGCCCCCCAGTCCTGGTTAGAGCACTGGCAGAGAAGCTGACAGCACCATAATCCTTCTCTGTTTGCCCTAAATTTTATCCAAGAGAAGTTCTGGCTCTGTTACAACAGCAGCTCTAGGGGAGGACATCCCTCTTCTCAAGCCGTTTCACTTCAGCTTCCTGTCCCTCAGTCTCCTCACGGCTCTTGTTCTTCTGCTGATCCATGTGAGTGAGGATCTGGCACAACACTTGAGCCCTTTCTTCATCCTGACTTCTCCTGCTCCCATGGCCTCGTTCTCCAGTGAAAGCTCACGCTCCAGATCTTACATCAGGGCATGGTTGCACCACCAGGGCTCTGCTCCCAAGATTCCAGCTGAAGGAACTTGTCTGGCTGGCTAGTCTTTCAGGTCACAGAGTCTCTGGTGACACTGAGTGACAATATCCTCATATCTGGCAGCTTTGTCCTGCTGCTGCACAGTGTTACTTGCCCTTGGGAACAGTAGGATAACTGTTTGTGAGGCCACACCACAAGTCACATCAAAGAGCTGCAAAAAACTCCACAGGGCCACCTTATTGCTTAAGCTGAAGGGATAGATGGGATATTGGGAAGAAATCCTTCCCTGTGAGGGTGGTGAGGCACTGACACACATTGCCCAGAGCAGCTGTGACTGGTCCATCCCAGGAAGGCTAGGCTTGATGTTCAAGGCCATGTTCAAGGCCAGGCTCGATGGGGCTTGGAGCAACCCGTGCTAGTGGAAGTTGTCCCTGCCCATGGCATTGGGTGGAGCTGGATGGGCTTTAAGGTCCTTCCAACCCAAACCATTCCAGGATTCTATGATTCCCTGCTTTGTGCTCCTCCAGAGCTGCACCTTCGTGTGTCTGAGTGCAATTACCTGTAACCAGTGAAGGTGAGAGCTGTGCTGGCACCTGCACAGCTGTTGTCTCCAGAGCCAGTGATACACAGGAGGTGGACAGGGAACAGCCAGAGTTTAGGCAGCATTTGAACAAGGCACGTGGATTCTTGGGGTTGTCCTGTGCAGGGCCAGGAGGTGAACTCTATGATCCTAGTGGGTCCCTTCCAACTGGGGATATTCTTTGGTTGTCCCAGCAGCTCATCCTCCCCCTTTGTTCCTGGGCTGCAGACTGAGGCATCTGATATGTTTTCCAAGGACTTTTTTTCACCTGCTTTGCTGCAGGGCTGTGGCAGTCTCCAAACATCTGTGCCCCCCTCTGCCTTCACTGGAATTTAAAACTGCCTTCCTCACCCTCCCCAAAAAGCTGATAGTGCTTTCTCTGATGGAAACAACTGAGGAATGGAAAAGGCTGATTAAAGCCTGTAAAATACACTGGAGCATGGAGAGAGAGTGTGAAGTGCTGACACTCTTCCAGCACAAATGTCAGGGCATCAGGGGAGACAAGAAGGAGCAAAGTCTGCAGCAGAGGGAGTTTGTTTCTCCTGGTCAGCTCTCCCACAGCCTGAGGACACTGTTGAGTTTAGAGGAGGCTGCACACCCTGTGGGCAGCATTCCTTCCAGCATCCCCTCCAGCATCCCTGAACACAAATCCCTGTCTGGCTCAGGAAGACCCCAGACTGGTGACCAAGAGTGTTTGGGAGAAGGTTTTGGACAAGCCTGCTCTTGCCTTCCTCCCTGGGCATCCCCTCAAATCTGCTGGGAGAGGAAAACCCAGGATCAGCCTGAGAGCCAAAATCTTCCCTTCACTGCTTTTCTTTTCATCAGGATGAAATTCTGTTGACTCCCTGGAGGGATTGTCCTGCGGAGGACATGGAACCCTCTGTCTCCCCGGTAAGCTTTGCTCCATCTGCACCCACAGTGAGTCCAGCCCAGCTCAGAGAGGGGAATGGGGCAACGTCAGGGCAGTAGCTGCCTTGGTTTCTTCATTCCCATTCTCCTGCTCATTCCCAGTTCCCCTCTACATAGCCACTATGAGGGTCCAGACCTCCAAGAGGTTGGAGCCAAGAAGGAGAGCTGACAGTTTACTGCCCCTAATAATTCCCTGGTCTTTTTGTGGGCAGAATGGAGAAAAGTGGGATTTCGTCCTGGTTAGTGACATCCATGAGATGGGCAGCGAGAAGGAGATCAAGAGGAAGAAGTTCCTGGATGAGCTGAACAAGAAGGGGTTCACCATCAAGGTGAGGGGCTGTGGGAGGAAAAGACAGCAGATATTTGGCATGTTATGGTACCTGGATCCAAACCTGGCTGGGACTCCTGCATCCCAGGGGATTGGAGCACCCTGAACCACAGAGCTGGTCACACCATCAGGAAAATAAACTGCTTGCTCAACCAGGGCAGAGAGCCTCCAGCTTCAGATCTCCACAGCCCTGGCCCTTCCAGTTCTGCCCCTTTCCTGCCCCTCTGCTTCTGTTCTAACAGACCTCCTCTTCCCCCGCTAGAAAATTGAGGACGAGCACCTGTTTTATGGAGTCCATGCCCCGCAGCACATCTTCCGGAAATACCAGTGTCTTCTGATGAACCCTGACAACAGGGTGCAAACCCCCGGGGGCCGGCAGAGCATCCCAGCGACCACCAGGTGGGTGCTGAGCTCATTTCCAGCATCCATTTCCCAGCTCGACTCACAGCTCTGACGGGCTTCCCATTTTCCACAGAATTTTCCTGCACCTCCCTCATGCAAAGCTTCCAAGGGTCTTGCTGTCCACAGCCAGCTCTCCATTTCTTCCCCTAATTCTTCTCTGGATATTGGTGTTCACCCAGTCCTTTTCTCTGCCGTGTTTTACTGTGCCACACAACACAAATCTGTATCCCAGAACAGTCTTTAACTACATTTTTTCCTTGCTCAGGATACGGATTGTGCACTACATCCTGCAGAACACAGTGACACCTGACTTTGGTAAGGGAATGGGATCATAGGGCTGATGCTCAGCCTAGATCTGCAGAAAGGCTCCTGCCCCTAGCATTCCAGCTGCCTTGCCATCCCAGGGAGAATGGAAAAGGGGGGAAAGCCAGGGCACAGCTTAGACAAGTCGATGTGCTGCTGCACCCAGAGGCTGGAAGGTTTGGACTGCAGGAACTGGCAGCTCCTCTGCTCCCTCACCCCAAACTCCTCACCTCAGCTGCCTACTGCCACTCTCTTGTGTCCCCAGAAGAGCTCATCCAATTCCAACACCCTAGGAGGAGCAGGGTGGTAGCTTTCCACCTATCTCAAAGGACCTGCCCACCTGGCTTGCTCCCAGAGCCAGCCACAGGGCAGCACTGCCACAAGGATTAGTGCTGATCTCTTTTGATAGCTCAGCCTCTCCCAGGTATTTTGGAGTTTGTCCTCTCAAAGGCTCCAGAAAGGGTTTGAGGTGATTCTGTTATCAGGGAGCACATAGGGCAAGAGCAAAGCTTCACTAACCCTCTCCCTTGTGCTCTGCTCCCAGAGAAGCTGCCTGACCTGATGAAGAAGAAGGTGTTCAAGGCAGCATTTCCCCTGCATGAGGTGAGGGCAAGCACACAGAAGCCTGGGGGGAACAGGAGGGAGAGGTGGAGGAGCAAGATGGGGTGGGGGAGACCTTGAGGTTACCTGCACTGCACCAAGAGCTCATGGGGTGAAGGGCACAACAATGCTCCTGGCAGAAGGCTCAGAACTGGGCAGGAGATTAAGGATGCCATGATATCCCTGTTCTCTGCTCTCCAGAAAGAAGAGGTCAATGAAATTCTAAAGGACAGTTGGGCGAGCTGGAGACATATGTGTCGTGAACAGCCAATTACGTCTATCAGGTAACACAGGCAGAAGAGGCACAGCAGATCCTTGCAACCAAGGGGATTCACCTGAACCCCAGAAAGCTGATGCCCTTTGCCAGGCTCCTCTATTGTCTTTAAAATCATTGGTTTGAATCTGGCTTTTCTCATGAGCACTGGGCTACTTCTGAAGCTTCCAAAGCTCTTAGCATGAGTATTAAATTGGGGTGGTGGTTATGGGGGAGGTGTTGGGGTTTCTAATTGAACAAAGGTCAGGGAGCACATCACCACCTCTGACTTCTGGTAGAAAGTTAATTCCCCTGGAATCCAGGAGGGAAGGCAGGGCCCTCAGTGAGTATTTCTTACCCACACCTCCAACCCGTTTCCCACACCAGAACCATCAAGATACTGTCACCATGGGGCATGGAAGCATTGCAGGGAGATGGCTGAGCCCAGGAGAAGTTGGAGGCATGAAACAGTAGCTTCTCTGCTCACCTGGGCCAAATCTCTCAATTCCAAAATCCCCAGACATGCAGTCACACTGATGATCCAAAGCCCCTCAGGGAATGGAAGAGCATTTCCTAGTGACCCCCAACAATCTGGACCCTTCTCTGGCCACCAACCCGGTCTCACCTTTTCCTCTAGGGAATACTTTGGTGAGAAGGTGGCCTTGTACTTTGTGTGGCTGGGCTGGTACACCTACCTGCTGGGTTTCGCTGCAGTGGCTGGGCTGTTGGTCTTTGTGGCTGGGATTAGTGTGTTCAATTCCAGCCAGGTGAGGTAAGACACTTGGGAATGCCAAAGGGGCATCCTATTCATGAGCCTTTGCTGCACACATGGCTCTGAGGCACTGTTACTCCCCTCTGCTTCCCTCTACACCTTTCTCTCCAGCAAGGAGATCTGTGAAGCCAACACCACCTACATGTGCCCACTCTGTGATCAGAATTGTCCATACTGGTCCCTCTCTGACACCTGCACCTATGCCAAGGTAGGAAACTCCCTTCCCAAGAAGGCTTAAGGGAAAGGATGCGGAAAACATCCCAAGTTATGCTGCTACCATAGCACTAGAAAAAAACCCACCCCAGACTATGGTCTCCATCACTACCAAGGAATATTTTACCAGTAATAAGCCCCAGTGTCCAGCCACTTCTTGCTATTGCCCTCCTGCAGCACCTTCACCTGTCTCAGGGGAGATCAGGGTGGCAAGAGGGTGGCTGAGCACAGAGACCCCTCCCCAGACCCTGAGGTGCCACTGTACCTTACTGCCCCATCAAGATCTTCTTTCATCTTCTCCAGATCACTCACATGATTGACAACGAGGGGACAGTCATATTTGCCATGTTCATGGCCATCTGGGGTAGGTGCCAATGTCTAGGTGCCCAGCACACACAGAGGGAGGGAGAGGGAGCAGGTGCAAAATGGGACACTGACACAAATTCACCATTCAGGGGCTTTTTAGCCCTTATCTCCTGCACTTCTAGGGCCACCAGCTTCTCTACCAGCTGAGGCAAGGGATGAAAATCACCCTGGCAATTTTCTCCAGCTCCCCAAACACTCTTTACCTGTCCTACCTGAAGCTTCCACTCTTTCACCCACCACAGCTTCCCTAAAACACCCAGCAGACTCTGGCTGGGCTTTTACAGCACTGCTCACATGTGGCCACAGCTGCAGGAAAGAGGAACCTCCAGGTTCCTCCTCAACTTTGCCAAATCACTGCACAGCCTCTTACCTGCTGTGATGGAATTCCATGGCCACCTTAGCTACACACTCATTTGGCTTTACCACAGCCTTATTCCGAATTGCCTATGGACACCAAAGCTAACCTGACCCTCAGTGAAAACTCACCTGCACCATCCCCTCACTGCTGTGTCCAGGGTCCTTCCAGGTCACTGAGGTGCAGAAGTGTCTGCCTGTCCTTCACAGGCCAAGGGCAGTCCAGGCTGGTTTGCCAGTAGGTCGGGTGGTGGCATGACGATCCATCCTGCTCTGTGGAACAGAGGGGTGGCTTTGTCTCCAGAGCCACCCCTGAGTGTCACTGCACTCTCTGCTTCCCATTCCAGCCACTGTGTTCCTGGAGCTGTGGAAGAGGAAGAGGGCCACTGTGGTCACCAGCTGGAACCTGTATGGGTGGGATGAGGAAGAGGTGAGGACATCATCTTTCCTGCTCAGTGCTTGCCTTTGCAGGGCAGGATCTGCCTGAACCTGGAAAGGACAATTTAGAGCCCCTTGCCCAGCTTGAACTCAATCAGGCTTGGCCACACTACTGTGGGCTGGGTGGTCATCCCTGTTCTTGTCCAGCACTGCCCATCCCTTATGTCCACTGACACAGAACCCCTGGGCACTGCTGGATCCTTATTTTCCCATGTTTTTTTTCTTCCAGGAGGAGCTGGCTGTGCAGCTGATCAACAATTTGCAGCAGGAACCCCAGAGGTACCAGCACTCCTACTTCTGTAGCACCATCATCCTCCTCTTGGTTCTGCTGATGGTATGTGCCAGGTGACCACCGGAAGGTCTGGTTTAGGGGTACGTGGGCTTTCCTCCTTCCCTCCCCACTCTGCCACAAAAACAGCACATCCTCTTGCTAGAGCAAAGGCAGAGACCAGGTTTTTAGGGCAGGTTCATGCCCATCACAAGGATTCAGGGCCTTCTCCATGCTCACACCTCGCTGTGCTTATGGCAGAGGCCACCCACCCTTTGGGGACCTGGGCTGAAGGCTCTGCTCTGGCAGTGAGGATCAAGGCAGGAACACAGAGGGCAGGAAGAGGCAAATCTCAATGTCTTCATTCTTCCCTGTGGGTCAGTGGAGAGTCTGGACTGGTTCAGGTGGAGACACAGAATGTTAAGTGTTGGAAGGGATATTAAAGCTCATCTCATTCCACCCCCTGCTATGGACAGGGACAACTTCCACTAGACCAGGTTGCTCAAAGCCCGTTCCAGCCTGGCCTGGTACACTTCAAGGGATGTTGCAGCCACAGCTTCTCTGGGTACTCTGTGCCTCTCCGCCCTCACAGTGAAGAATTCCTTCCTAACATCCAGCCTAAATTGGCCCTCTTTCAGTTCATACCCATTACTCCTTGTCCTATCACTACACCCAACTCATGAACCTCCTGCCCTTAACCAAAGAGTTCTGGCTTGCCTCTGGGGCCACATTCAGAGTTCTGCTGAAGGCACCCTGGTGCTCCAGGTGGGATGGAGCATATGTCCCCACACACACCTCACCCCACCACTGCTCTCCTTCACAGATCATGGTGCTGATTGGCATCACCCACGCGCTTGTCATCTTCCGCGTGATTGCCACAGCTCTCTTCAGCCAGAGCAACCTGGAGTTCCTGCGTGAGCAGGCCAACACCGTGGCCATGATGTTGGGGGCTGTGCTGCACTACATCACCATTGTCATCATGACCAAGGTGTGGAGCCAGATTGGGTGGGCAGAGGTTCTTCTTCTGCCTCCTCCACCACCAGCCCTCCCCACTCACTGGGTACCTCTTTCCTGCAGATCAACAAGCGTGTGGCACTCTTCCTCTGTGACCTGGGTAAGGGAAACTGGGGGCTGTCTACTACCTGCACCCTTACCTGCAGCTCCAAGCTGCCCAGCAGCACCCCCTCAGTCCCCAAACACACTCAGGCTCCCATCCCCTTCCCTTCCTCCACCATCACAAGGCATCTCCAGCCACACAGGTCCCCACAGAAAGCCAGCAGCCCCCCAACACACAGCTCATGTATGGCCCACATGCTGCCAGTTGACTGTCCTACAGCCACATCCATAGAATCATAGAACCATCAAGGCTGGAAGAGACCGCTAAGATCATCAAGTCCAACCATTAACCTGTCACTAAACATTATGTTTTGGAGGGACAGTCACCCTACAGGGCTGAGACTTGCCATGAGCAGGAAGCCAACACAGCTCCAGGAGAGCTCACCACATGAATTTCCTCACACCTGAAGGGCCCCTTTTCCTCCAGTTCCTGGCTCTGAGAGAAGTCCCTGCTTGGCTGGGCTCACCTCCATCAGAGGGCTCAGGTGAAGGGCAGGGAAGGCTGCACAAGGGGCAGAGACACCTTTCCAACCTTCAGAGAGTTGCTGTGGCACCCAAGGAGGAGCAGGGCAGCATCCCACTGCTCTAAGACCAAGCCCCTGGGCCTTGCTTCCTTCCCCAGAGAAACCACGGAGCTTCTCCCAGAAGGAGAACAACTTCATCGTGAAGATCTTCACCTTTCAGTTCTTCACACACTTCTCCTCACTTATCTACATCGCCTTCTTCCTGGGACGGTGAGTGGTGGCTGGACAGACAGGGTTTGGGGTGTATGGCCCCAAGTCTCCCCAGGGTCTAGGGACAGTCCAGTCCCTCTGCCCTCCTCACCAGCCACAGAGACCCCAGGAGGGCCATGACTCAACAGGTATCACTGTTGTTGCTCCCTTACTCAGGATCAATGGCTACCCAGGGCACTACGTGCGCATTGCTGGCCAGTGGAGACTGGAAGAGGTGAGGCACTTGCCATGGAGCTCTCTGACCCCACAAACAACTCTTCTTCCTTTCCCTCCTGCCTAGAGAGGCTCTGAGGATCTCAGCTTTCCCCATGAGCACCTAAAGGGCTCCTCAGACCCAAAGGCCCTGCTTGCAGGGCACAACTTCTCTCCTCTCATCCCTTTCAGTGCCACCCCAGCGGCTGCATCACCGACCTCTTCATCCAGATGGCCATCATCATGCTGCTCAAGCAGACCATCAGCAACCTGACTGAGTATCTCATCCCGTAAGCTTCCCTTGCTGGTGCTTCTGCCCAGCCAGGACAGAGTCCCAGTGCTTATAGAGAGGAGCTCTGGTCTTTGGGCCAAGATGTCCTCTTTTCCCTTCCTCCGGGGCTGTGCCAGCAGCAGTCCAGCCCTGCTGTGTCCCACAGGCAGCCATGCAAATCCCTCTGTCCCCTTGCAGCTGGACACGTCACAAGCTACAGAAGAAGCACAAGCACCCCAAGAAGAGAAACATGATGTTAGGGGAGGAGGAGGAGGCCGAGGATCCCTGCAAAAGGCAGTGGCTGAGCAACTATGAACGCAACGAGGTCAACGTCTTCAGCTTGTTCAACGAGTATTTGGAGATGGGTACGGAGGGCAGGGGGGTGGGTGAGGAGGGTTGCTGGGGACAGAACCACATGTGTTCCCTGGCTGGGGAGTGCCAGATGCTGGGGAGCCCCTTCGTAGGCAAGGGAGAGCTCTGAGCCCTGGCTCCATGCCCAGCCCTGCTCCAAGAGCTCTGGCACATCATGGAGATATTCCCAAAACAGAGAGAGCAGACAGCTGTGCTGGCCTTGCCTTGGACCTTCCTCTCCTTCCAGGGCAAAGCTGTAACCCAAGGGTGGTCCCTCTGCCTGCCTAGCTCAATCTGTGCCCTGTAGATTCCTCCTTTCCAACAGTCCTGTGAGAGGTCCCCATGGGGTTGTGGAGTCCCTAAGACAGGTCTACCTCCAACTTCCACCCCTGCAAACCCCCTGAGACATGCCGCAAACAGGACAAACCCAGATAGCGCTCAGGACCCTGGGTGACATCCCATCTGTGATGGTTTCCCACCAACGCCCACTGTTTCCCCTTCACAGTGATCCAGTACAGCTTCACCACCATCTTCGTGGCAGCCTTTCCCCTGGCACCACTGTTGGCCTTCATCAACAACCTCTTTGAGATCCGCCTGGATGCCATCAAGATGAGGCACCTGAACCGGCGCATGGTGCCCAGGAAGGCCAATGACATTGGTGAGAGGGGCCCTGGGAGCAGCTTCCTGCCAGCATGGCTCCTGGGCCAGTGGTGCTGGGGCTTAGCCCTGTCCCTAGAAACCCCTGAGGAGATGGAAGACCATGGAGAGAGCTGTGGGTTGGGGCAGGAGGAACCACTTCAGACCCTGCAGAGCCTGAGGGGCAGCTTGGAGGCCTCCACCTCCTCCTTCTACCTGGCCATGCCAAACCTGGCCCTGAGCTAAGGCTGGGGCTGGTGCTGCAACCCTTGAATGGTAGCAGAGGGGACTCACCAGCTGCTCCTGTCCCACAGGGATCTGGCTGCAGGTCCTGGAGGCCATCGGCATCCTGGCTGTCATCGGGAATGGGCTGGTGATTGCTATCACCTCCGACTTCATTCCTTTGCTGGTCTACAAGTACACCTACAGCCCTTGCATGAGGGAGAACAGCACAGGCATTGAGTGAGTTCAGTCTCTGAACAGTGCCTGCCTGTGGTGTCCTCACCTGCCTCAGTGCCACCGCTGCAAGAGCATGAGGCAACTGAGCTGTTCCCCAAACTGGGGTGGGGGAAAAGGGGAGTAGAGGAGGGTTTCCAGATGGCATCATCAGCATCAGCATCCCAGCTGGCCTCCCACTCGCATCATCCCCTTGGTGGGCAAACTGGTGGCCCTGAATGGAAAGGGCACTGTGTTAACATGGGGGAGCTGCAGGATTGCTGGGGTGCCAGCACATGATCTCTCCTGCCCTCTCTCTATTCCCCCAAGCCTTGGCTGACTGGCCAAGTTCAGCCAAACTGGACATAAGTCTCAGAAACATCCACTTCCCCCAGGCTTGATGAAAATGGGTAATGAGGGTTGGGAGGAGACCCCCAGGCGTGTTCAGGCTTCCCCAAAATGGGAGGGCACAGCCATATACCACTGGTCACCCAACAATCCACACACCAGGGAAACTGTTGAAATAAAAGCTGCAGACAGATGGGGTTTGCAGCCATCAGGGGCCTTTGAGCTCCCCAGAAGAGACAAGAGCTGCAGCTTTGTGTTAGGGCATGGCCACCAATCCAGTCCTTCCCTACAGTTGCTCCACTGGATACATCAACCACAGCCTCTCCGTGTTCCGCATCCAGGACTTTGAGCCCCAGACAGAGGTGCCCAGGATGCTGCCACACTTTAATGGGAACACGACCCTGGATGAGTGCAGGTGAGGGCAGGTACCACCACTCCATGGTCCTCACCAGGACCTCCAGCCTGCAGCTGAGCACAGGCAAGTGCTGGACAGGGCTGGGCACAGCAGGAGTGCCAGGGCTCCCCTTGGACCCCCCAGAGGGAGCCAGGGAAGGATGTGATAGCTGGCACAGGTCAGGCTGGACTGGCACCCATGGGGCTGTGCTGCAGGTACCGTGACTATCGCAATGCTGATGACTACAGCTACACTGTCCAGTTCTGGCACATCTTTGCAGCACGGCTTGCCTTCCTCATCCTCTTCGAGGTGAGCACACGGGCAGGCAGGATGAGGCTGGGGCAGGTGAAGTGGCTGGGGCAGGGGGAAGGGGTTGTGTCCATGTCCCTGGCCTGGGCTGCATCCCCTGACTGCCCATAATGACTGCCTCTGCTCCCCGTAGCATGTGGCTCTGTGTGTGAAGCTGATCGCAGCCTGGTACATCCCTGATGTCCCTCAGGCCGTCAAGAATAAGTTTCTGATTGACAAACGTGATGTGCTCCGTAAGGATCTGAGGTGGGTGATACCCTGTGGAGGCTAAGGGCTTGGGGACAGTCCAGCATGCAGCAGGAGAGCCACCAGGCTGCAGATCTGTCTGCTCTAGAGCCCTTTTTCCTCCAGAGAAAGAAAAGCTCCAGGTTATACAAGGAGTGATTTTGCCCAAATTTTCCATCTAAACCCTTTTTCTTTAAGCAAAGTTAAGTATTTCAGTGGGAAACTGAATCAATATTACCAAGAGCCAAAGGCTGGGTTGCCACATTGCTGCTGTCCCACACAGGCTAAGTCCTGCTCTGGGGAGGGCTCATTCTGCTCCTCTCCACAGTCCCCTGTCCCAGCTGGCATCCAAGATCCTGGCAGGAGCAGAGAGTGCGGTCAAAATGTGCCACACGGTCCCAGCTGGGCTTTCCAGCTCTTCATTCCCACTGCCAGCTGGATTCCCACCAGCAGGGGTTTCCCCCAGTCCATCATTCTTCTTACTGTCATTTTTGGCAGAATGCCTTGTTCCCACACAGAGGGGTTTTCCACACCTCCCGGTTCAGACACTTCCCTTCCCCACCACCTCTCTCCTTTCCCCCCCAGCATATTGGAGTACTCCATCGAGGTGTAGCCACTGCTCAGCAAGGAGGAGAACTTGGACTGGAGCCCTTCCCCAGCCTGGCAGTGCCATGGGTGCTGGATGAACCCCCACGGCATGGTGCCACGTGTCCAGCTGGGATCAAGCTGAGTTTCATCTGGGAAGTGAGGATGTGATAGTGGCTTCTCAGGAGCAGAATGCTTTCCAGTCTGGAGAGAAAGCCAGGACAGAGCCTTCCCAGCATGCGGAGCAGCTGGAGCAGAACTATGGTGCTGGGGACAAACCCAAGGGCAGCAGGAGATGAACTGTGTCCTTGTCACTCACTGCCTTACCCACAGGGAACACCACTTACCTCATGCCAGGTTCTCCCTCCAGCCCTTTTTTGGCACTTTGGCCTCTTTTCCCACTGCCTTCCATGACCTCCCACTCTTACAGCACCGGTGAGTCCTTCAGCTTTCCCCCACACTGCTCCTCAGCACAACTCTCATGTGGCTGCAGTTCTAACCTGCTATTTCCATGGACATTGGAAAAATGCCCTTGTTATCCAGACTGTTTGGCTCTGGGCTTGGCCCAGCCCTGGCAGCTGTGCATGGTTCAATGACCACCACCAAACTGTAAATAAACACAAGACCCATGAGGACATGAGCAGTCAGGCTTCCCCCAGTACACACTGCTGGCTCATGGACAGCTTGCTGTCCCCCAGGACCCTCAGAGCACACTGCTGGGCACGACAGCTTGTTATCCCCCAGGACTCTCAGAGCACACTGCTGGGCAGGGATAGCTTGTTGTGCCCCAGGACATCAGGAACGTGCTGAGGAGGCATCGACCCCTTGGCCAAGTCATGAATGGACAAGATAAACAACCTCAGGCCCAGTACAGAACCTTGGGGGACACCACTAATGACAGGTCTCAACTAGACCCTGTGCCACTGACCACAACTTTCTGGGATCTGCTGCTCAGCCAGTTCTCAGTGCATTCCACTGTCCACTCATCCAACCCACACTGCCTCAGTTTGCCTATGAGGATGCTGTGGGACAGTGTTCAAAGACAGAGTGGACACTTACCTGAGCAGCACCCAGAGCTACTTCCAGAGCAGACACTCACCTGAGCAGTCCCTTGGCTCCACTGTCACAGAACACCTTCTGTGATTCCTCAAAGAGGAGCAGTGGCCATGGCAGACACTCTGTTCAGAGGTGTCACCTCCTCCCACGGGAATGTTCTCCTTTCCAAACCTTGGTAGCCCAATCTGGTTCCACATTGCATCAATACCTTGAAACAAGCTGCCTGGCAGTTTGCATGGAGCTTCAGGCAGTGAAGTGCCTCAGGAATTGTTTGTCCCTGAGCTCCCACACAGGTGTTCTCATTTTCCTTGTTGGTGCCTCAGCAGAATACACTCACCTGAGCTGTCCCAAAAGCCCCAGCACAGGGTCTGAGAGTGACACCCTCTCCTCTGGGGGGGTGTCATGGGGCATACAGAAGCAGAACTGGGGGACATCCACCTCCTTCCCCACAGGTGGTGATTCCAGCATGGCCAGACACTGCTCTGTCACCACACAAAGCAGGACACAGCCCTGACAATGTCCCCATCCCCAAAGGTCCCACCACAGGTGCTTCCAGAGGTGGTGACTCCGAGGGGCTGGTGACACTCCTGGAGGTGACACATCTGACCCAGGACTGCAGAGAAAGGCCCCAGGGGTACCTCAGCCTCAAACCCACTCTCAAGGGCATGGAAAGCCACCAAGGATCCTGCAGGGAATGGAAAGGAGCTTGCTGAGCCCTTCGGCTTGTCCTATTCTTCCACCACTGTGACCAGAACCACCTCCACTCCTCCATTTCCCAATCCCACAGGGATAACTGTGATGGACAAGAAAGGTCTTATCAGCTCCTGACTTGCTCCCAGGCCTCCTCACGCCCTTGCCATACCCAGGCACTGGGCTTGTTCCATGGGATCCTTTATCCCACATATCCTATACTGGGTGTCACAGTGTCTTTGGCATGTGGACAGCAGCACAGCCCCCCCAAAACAGCTGCTGCCCAAACACAGTGCTGCGGCTGCAGGGCACAGTGGCCCTTTCT